CTTTAACAACAGCAGTCAGCGAAATAAGGCTTAGTGTCCACAGCAGCATTATCTGGTTCCTTTTTATTCACTTCCCCACTGATATGTTGGAACCTAACTGGCTAACACACCCTTCATATGTCTTCCTTTATATATTTCACGAACCTTACTAACAATTCTATTTTACCGTAGTACTAATTCAGCTGTTACAAAAGCCCTATGGTGCACTAAAAACATGCTGACCATCGTCGCAGCCAAGTATGATAAGTCCCTCAGCACCACAACTAGTATCTGCCTACGAAAGCTCAAAAATCCCAGAATAACATGGGGTTTGCCCAGTCGTATGCGCATAAGCGAAAAAAGCATACTACGTCGCTATTCATGTAACACAATTTGTCAGCGTGGCCAGTGAAACAGTAGAAGTCTGTGCGAGCGCGGACACTGGCCCTGGTGTCGAGGGCCAAACTATACTGTCGGATGGCCACCTTCGGGGTAACAAATCGTAGCATATCTTAAAAGTTCCAAAGACCCTAGACTCCTTACAGCGATAATATTACTGAAGTTCCACAAAGGGCACATCAGCACGGGCCTTAATGTCCCATCTGACGTGTTCCCAACGTGCAAATCAAAACACAAGATAACGTCGCGCATTAGTACCAACGTCGCACGGAACTTCCAACAGCCCCGCGTGACGAATACTATTACTAATCAAGACGGTGCAACAGTGACTGGCGTGTGAATGAAGAAACCTACCAGGTTAAAATAGGTAGACGAGGTGGTAAACGTCGAAACCTTGCAGGCAAGTTCGTGAAGAAGGCACGAGGTTAAGTCGAATGCAAATGCCGCGACGTAGTTTGAGTATTCTATACATAAATAGCAGTGGATGAAGGAGAGGGCTGGTCGAGCACCAGAACAGTTTGCTTATTGCCCTGAGCTTTTAAACTCGTACAGGGCATACAAATCCCTGCACGGTCACGTCCAGACGTGCGTCACTGACAGCTGTTGCTGCCTCTGACTAATAACTCCTGAACGAGTTTGAAAGCTCAGGACAATAAGCAAACAGTTCCGGTGCTTGAAAGCATGCTACTTTACCTTATGCAAACACCTGGAAAGTTAACTTTTCAATTCATTCATAAATAGCAATAATAAATTTTTTAAGGATGGCCAACAAACATCAGTTACAAGTGTGAAATATGCCATGGAGGAATTCCACCGAAAGGCTGTAAACTGAACTAATATGCCAGCCCTTTACACACACGCATTTTCAGAGAAGCTTTAAATGCATGAAAATATATCCGCTTTTTTTAGCCACCAGTGCTGTATTTTTAGTCCACCGTCCAATCAATAACGCTTTTCTAGCTCAAAGATAGCATTGGTTAACTATTCTGTTGTCCTTCTCTTCGAAACTGGTCTCTTGGCTAACTTTGTGTAGCGCCGCAGCGACCTACAATAAATAGGCAGGGATAGCATAGGAGGTTCGCAGACTTAAGCTGCAGAGGTCATACATCCAACCTTCAACAAGGACGCACCTAACTGACCGTCCCTGTTTTGCTTTATTAACTGAGAAAGATACTTTGAAGAATCGCTTCACCCACAAATTTGTCCTTCAAAAAAGGTGGGTGTTCACTTGACCCTTACTGACTTACCACAATTTGTTAAGGGGCTCATTTTTAATGGAAAAAAACCTCAAAGGTCGTTCGACATTTGGCAAAAATGCACCCAACATGTTTAATTAGATCGAAGACTGAATGTGAATGAACGGAGTCATCAGATCGACTGGCTTACTTGTCAGTACTGGCAAACTAAATTCCCTCAAGATTCATGCCCAAACAGTACAATAGGTTCCTGGCGACTCACGATGATGGACAGTTCAGAATCGCACAGGACAAAATATCTGCAATAGACTTGGATCAGTGACCATATGATCATCCGCGTGGATGTGTTGTAAAAGGTTTTCTAACCACATTTCAAGGTATCAATAGGAT